GATGCCAAGACTTCTCAAAATGTAGCCAGCTGGCTTCAACAGAAGTTGCATTTCTGTGTTTTAAATTGTGCCTCATTGCCTCTAACTGAAGTAGTATGTTCTTATTTTGTTGGCTTGGAGTTCCCCATTGGTGTCACAAGTGACCAGTTGAATTGCCTTGTGTTACTGTTACTAGAGAAGTTTATCCATATATGGCAAATGTATATCCAGATAATTTCTTAGCACCTTTGCATAGATTGTACTTTGAATATATTCTGTCTGTGTACTTAGTGATGGAGGTAAGGTGTTCACCCTGTTTGCCCTGCTACCTAATAATTTGATTGTATCCATGCTACTCCATAGTGCACTTTCTTCATTTGCATTTGTGTATATTAGCTCAGTGAGTGAAGCTTATGGCTAAGCTTTTTGGGAAAAGGTTCCTAGCTGCAAGTGGTTGTCCTTAGCAAGCAGATGGGACTGACTCTTTGCTGTGTATGAATTGAGGTAGAAATAAACTGACTGCAGAGTGATTCTTTTCCTGTTGATGCTCCTTATTGGCTCAACAGCCTTCGTCCTGTATGTTTCTGAATGTGAACTCTTCATGACATCAGCTGTCTTCTTGCTACTGAGCCCCCGGTATTGATCTCTCAGGCAAGAGAAAAATGAAACTTCCAGTACTAATGGTGTCTCATTCTGACATAAAAAATGACTCCTAGTGACTCCAGTGATCTTAAGGCACTCCTTGATATGTCTTCAAGGATGAGTGGTCAGCTATAATTCAGCCATACTCGCTAAAAACAAGTAACTGAACTGGAAGATGAGTGTTACCAGCTGTTGAAAAGTTTCCACATGGCCTTTGCCTGGCAGGAACAAAGGACTGACTGGTAATCCCTTCAGTAGAAAATATTTGGACAGAGATAGATGTTGAAAAATTTCTTTCTGATACCTGTATTTTAAAGGTGAGGTTCTGAAGTGCAAGTTTTGTTTTCTGTTAACAAGAACAGTGTTTTTTCTTCAGGGAAAATACCAAGCCAGGATCTCTTCAGGATGTTGTTTTCATCTCCTCTCTAATATTTGCTCTGGTACTTCTTTTCCTTTCTTTTACTACATTCTGTCAAAAAGCAGATGATACAGCCGTGGCAGCAGTAGTACTTAACTCCTAAATCAGTTCGGATTGGCATACCCAGCTTCCGCCTCTCTGTCCCTGAGCTTTGCACTATTCAGTTGATGAATAGCTGAACACCAGTGTGCAGGCCACAAACCTGAATTACCCTCTGCTCCATGCATGCCTTTGCTTGCCAGATGTTCCTGATGACAGTCCAAGTACAAACCAGTGTTTTACTCAGTGCACTGATCCAAGGCCTATGGCTTTAGCATAACATGGAGAGAGTCTATGTGACTGTTGAGATGCACATGAAGAGATTCTGATGCAGAGCAGGAAACCCTATATGTGCGTAACATATGGGGTGTTATGCTTAAACTCAAGTGGAAGTGATTTTCTTAAATCTTTTCAGCAGAAAGACCTCAGTAAAACTTGATAGAAATACTTTCCTTAAGTACATACCCATTTTTCCACTGTACAGGATGATGAAAGTAAAATATTTTGAAAAGTCCAAATCAAATAAAACAAAATAAGCCAATTTTCTGTATTTTATGTTTTGTTGTAAAAACATTTTTGAAAGTGCAAAATAAGTAGTACAATATAACATAGCAATTCTTGTTTATTAAAAACTAAGAAAAAAAGCACAAACAAATGCTTAAGTGAACAGAATTCAAATGAAATATTACTGCCTTAAATTTGGTAATTTGACATTGAAAAAAAATGCACTTTACATTGGATAATTGCACATAAGATGTGTTCCCTGTCCCATTTCAACCACAGAGTATCAAGCTTCACTGTCATCTGCTCCATCGAGTTCTGTTTGTTCTGCTTAGCTGCCATTTTGGGTAGCCATTATGCTCATCTTTGCAGCATTATTTTAATCCTGTATCCTAAATATTCTGGGAAATCCGAATTCAGCTTCCATTGGTTTTGGAGTAAAAGTACTTTTTGAAATATTACTAGGAACAGCATTTGAACTTCTATCTCTATGCTTTCTTTTATTTTTCTCATTTTAAAACAAGAATTTCTCTTGCAGGAGCTGCTTCACAGTTGTGTGCGTCTCAGACTTTTCTTTCTATTCATTTGGTATTGTATTCCAGTGGTGTCGTTCTCTCTGTGATAGGTGGTATTTTATATATATACGTGTATATAATTTTTTAATATATCATTGGAAGATACTTAAAGATTTCTCCACATGTATTCTATTAACAGATGTAGAGAATTTACAGTAAAAAATCAGAGAGGTCAAAACTTTATTGACAGAAGTACCTATGGGAGACTTTATAGAAGATTGTGTTTATCTATTCTAATATTTTTCTTCTCCGGAGGAGATGAAAGTTCACTTTCACTAAGTCTGACATGCTGGCTATACCTCTGTCAGAATAATATCAATGGATTTCTTGATTTGTAAGTCAGAGAGACTTTGAATCCCAAAGAGAATATGACTTTTAAACATCTATCTTTCGGGTTTGTTTTATTGTGACTCCAGCGTACCTGGTCAGCCACTGTCCAGGACTAATACGGAGGAATGGTTGTCTCTGTGCACCTCTCACTGTTATTCACCAGCAGGATAGTCATCGGAGGGTCACGTTACAGTTCATTCAATCAAGCCGTGGCTGTAGCAATAGCCCGCCTCAGGTCGGTACCATCTCTTGAGATTTGTAGGGCGCTACCAGAAGTGAGCTGCATAATGTCCTGTAGCATTAGCGCCTTGATACTTTGTAGCAAATATTTCAAAGGCAGCAAATCTGTGGTTAGCTTCTTTCCCAATGACAATCCCATTCTCTTTCCTCTTACTGCCCTGTTGCAACTATTTGCGTATACCTGCTAACTTCTAAGTTCATGTTCGCTCAGCTGTAAACAACACCTAATGTGTATTATTACCTTAGATTCAGTTATTGAACAAATTTAGTTTTCATATTTCTGTTTTTGAGTGGTTATTTGATTCATTGCTTGTAATCGTGGTGGGAACCTCTGCTTTCTACATTTGAGATAATCTTCAAAAGTGTTCTTTTATGCTGCAACAGATGTTTAAGTTGGGCTGAAATAAATCATAGCCAAGCATATCTGCTTGATACTGCCTAGATAAACAGTGGGTATATCTGAATTGGTTGTATTGGGCAGACTAATGAGGGATTTATATTACTTTCCCTAAGAATATGTATAATTCAAAATTTTGAGATAGAATACACTGGAGCAGAGATGTGCGGTTTAGAGATGCAAGCAAAGTACTTTTTTGAGTAATTGCTGCTTTTTATTCTAAACGATGCTGATGACTCATAAATGACATAATTTACAGTCAGAAATTAGTCCCGTTTGTTAGTTGGATTTTCCCCAAATCTTCTCAGAGATTAAAAAAGAAAGAAAGAAAGAAAGAAGGGAAGAAAGGAAGAAAGTAAGGAAATTTAATGGCATCCTTTTATTGAAGTGTTTTGATACAGTATCACAGTTATAAAATACTTAGAAAAGATCTGAGCTTCGAGTGAGAGCTGTGTTGAAATTAGGTGCCTTTTTCTGTGTTGATTTCTATGTTGTTCCATATCATGTGTAAGAGAGCTTTTTTCCTTTCTTTTCTCTTTTTTCTCTTTTGTTGAGCAAATCTTAGAAATTGCAGAACTGCTGAAAGCAGAGCTGCTCTGTTCACACATCTGGCTTATCCAAACATTCTTTTACCTGCTGCAGCACTTCAGTTCTTAACTCCTTCTTTACCCAACTATATGAAAATTGTTTTAAGAGCATGCTATTTGGCTTATTCTCATTTCACAGCCACAAACAAAGTAGGAAATCATAATTATTTGTATTCTCAACTAACATAAGCAGAGTTTGGAAATAAAATTAATTTAGTTTTGCCAGTGGTAAATTTAGCTCTGAAATCTATAGATTCTTGGTGCACCTTTTTATCTCATAGGTTCTTTGTCATCGTGTAGGGAATATATTTTTCAGACAACCCTAGAGAGAAGCAATATGACAAGTAGTTAGGTGAGTTTTAGATCTCTAATCCAAATTAATAGGGTTTTTGAATAACCTCCTGTGTTTTTGTGCATGTTCTTTTTTTAATGTGCTCTTGTGACAGAGGCAATTTATATAGACAATCTCATTCAGTAATTTTGAATTGTGAATAATGCATTTCGTAATGCTACTTAGAATTGGGATTTGCAGTGTTTCTATAAATATTAGGGATGGTGTGTATTCATTTAGCTAGCTGATGAGACGTACAAAGTGCCAACTGAATATGTTTTTTCTTCAGATCCTAAAGGAGATCTAAGACTTTAAGCCCCCCTGCTTCCCAGGTTTGTTCTGAGCTCAGTACCTTGGTGGGGTTTTTATGCCAAAAGTTAAAATTTCAGTTGATCCTTAATATGTAAGAGTGTTAAGGTATTAAAAAACAATAACGTAGATGGAAAACTGAAAGCATTTCTTATTAGCGTTACTTTAAATGTTTTCAATGATGTAAAATTAATGGGTGGTGCTTGCAGGGTGTTCTCTTTGGTTCTTTGTCTCCATCATAAGTTGCTACCTTAGATCTGTTTTGAAAGCTCCCGGTGTCTTTGAGGTCTCACTGGTTCAAATACTTCTCCAGTAGAGACTGAATGTGTAAGGTTTTTTGCTCACTCTGCTTCTGTCTTTCAACCTGTTGATGTCTTGTAGAGGCTCTTTGTATTTTATTGATTGAAGTTTTGGTTTTGTACACAAAAATAATAGCAAATTGTTGTAGTTTATATAGATCAAGTTTTCATTTATGCCTGATTTTGTAGGTAATCATTTTCTCCTTACATTTCCTTTTGGATATGTAGGAGAACTTGATAGTGTTTGGCTTCTGGGTAAATTAATAGCCCTTCATTTTCATTATATGGCTATTGCTGTAAGATTTGTGAAAGCTGATGAAAATTAGCATTTTCAATAATATTTGTTTTTAAAGGGAACTCTGAGGAAGTTTATGATAACCAGCTTAACGTGGCCTACTGCTTCGATGACTCTGAAGAGAAACAGTTAAGGAATTACTTTTATGAACAATGCTTTAACACTGCTCAACTAATAAAAACTGATGGTGGGAAAAGACAAGCGCAAGCACATGCATATATGGGCCTTATCAATGAGGAACAAGGTGAGTCACTGTGGTCATAATGCTACATTGCATCAGCATTGAGACGGTCATATTTTGTAACCAATGTTTTGTTACAGGGCACTTAATCTCAGTGTAAATTTGTTTGGAGCCGTAATTTATAAGAAGTTTCAAAGCTTTTGCAATTGTAGTTTCTGGAGCAGCAAATACAAAGATAATAAAGTCTATGATTATTCATAGACATGTTTCCTTTGCTAACTTTCCATCTACAGCCAGTAGAAAAGCAAAATGTAACTTCAAAGGAAGCATTCTTTTTCCACAAAGGTTCTTTTTGTTCAACCTTGTGTCTTTTTGCTAGCTTTTGTCAGAAGACCGATAATGCTGCTTCAAACCGCAAATCATTGCCATAGTGTTGTTTGGTTCCCCTTAAACTCCATTTCCCCATATGTCTCTGTCCTATAAATAGTGTGTGTATATATAATATTAGATATTAATTGATGTAACTGTTTGCCTTATTTTACATGCTTTTTTAAAAATAGATTACCTTTCGTGGCAGACAGCTTTGGTTGTGTACAGCAGGATATACATGAGAAAGATTTTCCTACATTTCTATCAAATCTTCTCATTTTGTGGGAAGAAAATCAGTGAGTGAGCCCCAAGTAGCTGAATAAAATGTTCCAGTTCTAGTTCCTCAGTGTACTGAACTGCTGACCACTTATTCAAATATGTGACTTACATGGCCATTATGTTCTTGTTTATAAGTTTTACCTTTTGTGGTTGACTTCTCAGCTAGAATGGCTTTTCTCAGGGAAAAAAACATAGATTAAGAGAAACTGAAATGTTGTGTGAAAAGAAGGCGATTCTAATAACTTGATAGAAAAATAAAAATAAAAATAAAACCTGACAAAATGGTTACATTTTGAACAATGGCCTCATTTTCCAGCAAAAGCCTGAACATGAAGCATGAACTGCAACCTCTTTGTTGTTGTTGGAAAGCCTTTGACATGACTTTTTCCCCCATTTTCCCTTAAAGCTAAAAAATCCCACCTTACTCAGTATTTCCTTCTGTCATTCACACTGTTTTCTTTTGAACCTGTAATATTTTTTTTGCATGCCACAACCAGAGCTCAACTGAGTTTTAAAATTTGAATTCATGCTCCAGTAACAGATAAAATAGCATTTCTTTTCTTACAAATATTACTATTGTATGAATATTTGTGTTTCGGAGTATGATGTTTTATTCTGACACTTAACTAGTGATAACTCATGTTTACATGGGACTTCCCAACCAATTTGTCCTCACATAACAGTAATTACAGGTGAACTGTGCTTTCTTAATGCTTTACAAGCAAGTTATGGCAGTGAGAAAAACTTCACTGACTTAAATATAAGTTTGCTCTGTTGACATTTACTCTTCGTGTATTGGTTTTAGCTTTGTACATTTTCATGGTGTTTTTTTTTTTCCTAAAATTCTGGGAATACTCTGTTTGATTATTCATTCCAGCTTTATTCCAGGAATCTGGCGTCCCAGCAGATAACACTTGCTTAAAACCCAGCCAGTCATGACCAAGTCATTTTCATTTTGAGTGAAAAATGCTTAATTAGGTTATCTGATCCTCAATAGAATAAAACGATTGAAGTTGCTGGATTTATTGGTAACCTTTTCATCCCGTCCTTCAGTTACTGAAAAATAAAATGTTAAGAAGAAACATAAAAGCAAACATTCCTATCTATCTTCAAAGAAACGTACTGATTGTGACTGGCACACACTGCCAACATTTTTTTCACTACTTCCTACTTTTATTGTGTGTTAAGCAAATGTTGTTGAATACTTAAATTTCTTTAAGCCTTCAGTTCCATTGCAAAAGCATAATAAGTAAAGTTATGCAGTATGCTTTGAGATGTTCAGTGGAGGAGAAATTTCATTTTCCTGCTGTAAAATATTAGAAACTTCTGGAAGAGAGGCTTCGTATTAACAGTGGTAAGGAGGAAGAAAACGAGTTGCATTCTTCTCTGGGTGGGGTAAAGCTCCAGTGAATCTGTAGGGTCTGTCCTTTGCAAATATTTTATTTCCTTAGAGACAGGTGGAAAAAAAAATGAAGAAGCATGGAGTAGGCATAGAATTTGCTTTGAGGAATCCCAGAGAAAAAGACAGCAGATGTTTTCCTTGCACTTCATATTTTTGAAGAGTGAAAAATTAAATCTTAAGTTTGGACTGCTGAAAAAGTGTAAGAGCAGATGCTGAGTTGGGGTTTGTACAGGATTGAATAAAATTACATGAGTATTAATGGTTTAGAAGTAAAACTCTGAACGTGTTGCTTTTTATATTAAAACGAATAGATATTGCTTGTAAATTATATGACTTTTTTTTTTCTTCAGTTATTTATAGTGGTGTAATCTGATTTAACTGTGAACTGAGAGAGATGCCTGCTATCTATGGGGATATATACAAGAACAGATACATATGTGTAGAGGTGTATGTGTACATGAATATATGTATACAGGAATGTCTATGTATACATATATAGATGTGGCTTCTGTACTTTAGATATTTGTAAGTACTGAAAGTCTATGAGAATGCTTGTTTGTGTGTATATCTGTGTGAATGATTCCTAATATTTGCACAATATTTTCAACCGATTTAATTCATCATATCTATTTTAACTGTATTTATTAATACTGCAGTTGTGAAAATAGGAAAATTTTATAAGAATGAGATGTTAGTCTGGCCCAGTTGGGTAAGGGAACTGGTACAGGATATTTATATCTAGAAGCATGAACACATGAATGTCTGCTTTTATTACTTGTGAAAGGAAGCTATGCATATATGCTTAGAAGTATAAAAACAGTAATACCTGAGTGATCTGCTAGAGATACAAATGGAAAACTGTCTTTGGAGCACATTTGATTTCAGTGGTTGTTCTTTGCAGAATGAGATTTTTAGTTCTTGAAAAAACTGCATTTGTAGAGTAAGTTCTCTATGAGCTACCAAAATGAGAGACTGCTGTAGAAGAGTTTGCATTATGATACTGTTCAATCAGCTGTACTCACCCCGCAGTTTGTCTTTCCTCAGGGAGCTGATATTTCATTGTTTTATTACTTTGGTTAGTAGTCATTTTCTCATATAGCAATTAAACATCATGATGTCACTTCATACACATTGAAGAGGCAATTCATATTCGTACGTTTTGTCTCATTAAATCCAGCATTATTTGTCATTCAAATAGGCACTGTAGCAGAATCTCAGTTAGGCAAAATAAATTTTATGTATATGTATATATTCCTGTGTTTTGAATGTGTTTTTAGAAGTAATAAGCAGAATCATTGTAACTGTTTCTTTTTTTCCACATAACAGAGAATGAGATTATTGTAGTCTGAGGACCCAACTGTGATAGTTCTGCCATATTAGTGTAAATTCTGCTAAGTTAATTACAAACTGCATTTACTACAGTTTTTCACTGTTGTGTCTTACAGAAGAAACACAAAGTGTATTGATAAACATCATGGCTAATTCACATGCATCTTGTCTTACCAGTACTCATCATTACAATATTTGAGTGTTTTCTGTTTTGTATTAAATGATTACTCTATCATGTATGAAATGATGCAGAACTTCAATACGTGCTTTCAAAAGTTTCGGATAATTTACATGAGTGACAAATGCAAGCCAAAGGAAACAAGGTATTTGTACTTGTAGGAGCTATTCAAATAGCTTGTAACAAAATTGGAATGTGTCTATATTTAAAAACATAATGAAAACAGACATCTGAACAAGTGCTTGTTTTAAAAGCAGCCATCAAGGCCACTGCAAGTGTTTGTGTATTTCAGTGTACATAGATGCATACCAATGTGTATATATATATGTACATACTTTGTGAGACAAGCTTGAAGAAAACTAATGAGCATATCTGATGGTGTTTTTCTAATACAGATGCATAAGTGCTCTTTCTTAAAGAGCACCTTTGCAAAGAGGTTAATTAGGGGTATACACTCTGTGAGAAAGTGGAGTAGGAAGAATCCAGAATTTTGGAGGAAACAAAGAAAAATTACTTCTATGTTCTTATTATGAATATCTATTCTCCCACCCTGAAATTGTGCATGGGTTTCAACATTTGCTCTTCAGATTTTACCAGTGAAAGTAGTCTTTCAGAGGTCACGGGTCATTTCCTGTGTTAGTAAATCAAACAGTGTCCAGAGGTGTCTATGGGCACAGGAGCACAGGATACTGCTGAAGTGGTCCTGCACATGCTTTTAGCTCATTCAATTTTGAACTTCCCTCCCCTGCAATTATTCATAGGCACAGCTGGGCAGTTAGGAGTGTTGCAAGGGTTTCCTAACAGGCAGCTTTCACTCAGCCATGCTGATTTCAAGAATAAGACCATTTACTAGAATAGACTCACCTTCCCATACCCGTTCTTTGAAATATGAGGAGATATTTCTGAATACATTTGATCACTAGTTTTAAGGGAGCATGGTAAGTTTCACAGTGGAGTCCAATGAATAGAACTGCCCCAGCAAATTCCAAATGTAAATCAGTGCCATGCCAGAAACTGCCTATCCCCTGGTACAAGAACTGTGAGATGTGTGAAAATTGTGCTTTTAATCTTGGTGCACTGGTGACTGAATTAATCATCAGATTTATGTTCTGCTAGCACATAAGGATCAACAAAAGTGGAGGTAGAACTTTTTCTGAAATACTGAAAGATCAGGAAGGCTAAAGATGGACAGAACTACGGAAAGAAAGGCACAGCGTGCAAAGCTGTTAGATGATATCTCAGTGCTGATTCCTACAGCATTCAGCTAATCCATAAACCTTACTTTTTCTTTATGTTTTAGATTGCAAATCTTAAAGAATTCCTGATCAAGGTCTCCTTGGTCCTTTCTAAAATAAGTTTGGACATTTAAAATATCTACCATATTCTACAAATTAATGACAGGGCTTTTTTAAGTGTTCAGTCTTGATCTAGTTCTGCCTTGATTATAAGCTATGCTAAGCCCCTGCTGCTTTCCAGTCAGGGCAGTGTTTTGCTGGAGTTGAATAC